TGCTTTTAACTGGGAAACAAGCCGCGGAGTATCTGCTTAATTCCAACTGAAACAGCAATGACGAAAACAATTAGAAATTAGTCTCCACTGACACCAATTAATGTCCTTCATTCCTTCTCCTTATTTTTTATCTCGCGTTTTCCTTATTCTACGTTCTTTGCAACCGTTGAATGTATACCTCATATCTTTTACCTTATAACCTTTGGTCGCCATTATTTACAAACTATTTTCTGATCTAATCGTTCTTTCCTCGTTTTCCTTACTTGATCCGTCTTCCTTCAGTTTTCTCCTACATTCTTGTATCTATATAGGTTTTTCTCGTGAATTCCATCAATTATTTCATGAAACAAAATTTATTCTTACAATTGTATGTTAATGGTTATATTGTCAGTCACCCGTTCCAGGTCTAACTCTGCTCTTTCATTCTCCGTTTTTCTATATGAGTATTTGTGTTCCGGTAAGGCATTTTTTTTTTTTTAATATTGGGTATTGGTTCTTGTTTGGTACACTATTGGATCACAAATGATAATGTTTCAATTTACTAAAATTTGCAATGAACATGAAACATAATCAATATTCCATAACTGCTTACTTTCTGTACACAGCAGATTGTTGCTGATATATGGTAGGAAATGTTTACGCGGTGTACCAATCACTCACATTTAGTAATGAAATGACCGCGAAATGATAAACACGAACATCAAGCGGTAAAGTGGCATCAAATAGTTCCCCAGTTGCTCGTAATATGCTGTTTGAAATATCAATGCGTTTTGTATCCATGCGCACACAGACATTTGACAGAAATTGACAGGTTTAAAAGATCACTGAGAAAGAAATAGGTTTACACTATACAAGGCAGATAATTCAATCCCACATTAACAAAATAAGGCGGTAGAGTTTTGACATGTAAAACCCCCAGAGGACACATACAACAACGCTTTGTTTTCCCAACTCTGGCTAGGCCAGCTTAACGAAATGAAAAGTACGTCTCCATAGCAACAATTTCCCTGGATAAAGATTAACAGTTCTACACAGACAAGGTTTTGGTAGTTATTTTAAGATATTGTTGTTTTGTATGTTTTAATCTTATGGAGTTATTCTATATACAGCGTACGTGTTTAGACATCTTAGTTAATGAAGTAGCCCTGACATTTCTGGGCCAGTTTGAACTGTAGCGACTGAAAATATTGAATACTCCACCGCTATTAAGTATTGGCGTTTGATAGTAGTTTCAGAGATCAACTTCATTCACCTATCATCGTTTGATCGTTCTAGTAATTAGTATTCATCGCCACACGTCTTGGTTAATTGTAATAAAATGTTGCATAACTGTTATACAGGGTCATGTTGTTATACCTGAGACACAAGGTGTGGCTTTGTCGTCGCCATGTTGGCGACATATCTTTTCTCTAAAAGTAAATTTTAACTGTGGTCTAATCTTAACACATATTTCTTAACAGTAGAATTGTTCTGTATATATATTTTAAACGTTGAACTGTTCTGAATACATTCTTTAAAAGTGAAACTGTTCTGTATAAATTTCTTTTAAGTGAAACTGTTCTGTATAAATTTCTTTTAAGTGGAACTGTTTAGTATATATTTCCTTATCAGTGAAACTGTTCTGTATAAATTTGAATAGATCTGTATATATGTATATTTTTAACAGTAGAACAGGTCTTCGACTATTTTTGAGGAATGGAGCTGATATGTAAACTTTTCTGAAAGTTAGAACAGTTCTCTATATTTTTACTCAGAACAATTCTGAATTGATTTGAACATTATTTATACCTAGTATAAAAGTTGTTGGTATATTTCATTGATGTGAACTTGTTTTTATACTTTTTAAATAGTTGGGCTGTTTTGTTTACCTATTTAGAAAGTGGAATAGCTCTTTCATGCAGTTTTAAACCATTGTGCATTGGTTTACACTGTTTAATTGTACGGTCGGTTGTATTTCTCTCCTTGTGGTTTATTACCTCATATATTCCACATGTATATGAAAGCTTCTGAAAGCGTTGTGTGAAAACATCAATTTTTTTTAAATATTGCATGCGTCAAGTTCCATGTTAAGAATTTCCAGAAATATTTCCAATAAAATTGAAACTATAAGCGATTTCAGATGGTGTCAATTTCCTTCATGTTAACTGATGATGCATAAGTGCAGATAATGTTTTGAAAACTTATCGAGAAAGGGTTACAATTGTTAACATCTCTGAATTGTTTATTGTTTTCAGCGGATGTCGTGATATATATTGGCGTCAATGATGTTAACTTTCATCGTCAAGGGAAAATTTTCCATTTAATTTCGCCCTAACTTAGCATTACTGCATCTGCACGTTCTCTTTTGTATTATTGTTCGTATGAATTTGGAAATTTTCCAAAAACTTCAAACAAATTTTGCTTGATACCTTTTTCGACAAATATCGGTTAACTTATGAGAGTGGTATTTCGGATATTGTAACAACTTATCACTATAATGTTTGATTAATTATGTTCTGTACCATTATCTTGTCATTTCATTGTTCTAATTGTCCCAGTCATTATATCGGATTTTAGCTTTAGTGCTGAGGTGTTGTCTGTTAAACCTCTCTAGTTTAGGAGGAGCGTATAGTGTAACCCATGTCTCTCCTTACCGTTATATCAGTTTTTAGATGGATTGGTGACGTAGTGTCTGTTATACCTCTCTAGTTGAGGAGGAGGGTATAGTGTAGCCCATGTACTTCCTTACTGTTATATCAGTTTTTAGATTAATTGATGACGTAGTCTCTTTTATACCTCTCTAGTTTAGGAGGAGCGTATAGTATAACCCATGTCTCTCCTTACCGTTACATCAGTTTTTAGATGGATTGGAGACGTAGTGTCTGTTATACCTCTCTAGTTAAGGAGGAGGGTATAGTGTAGCCCATGTATATCAGTTTTTAGATTAATTGATGACGTAGTCTCTTTTATACCCATTCTCTCTCTCCTACCGTTACATCAGTTTTTAGATTAATTGATTAACTCTCTAGGTGACATAGTGTCAGTTATACCTCTCTAGTTTAGGAGGAGCGTATAGTGTAAACCATGTCTCTCTTACCGTTATATCAGTGTTTTATATTAACTGGTGACATAGTGTCAGTTATACCTCTCTAGTTTAGGAGGAGCGTATAGTGTAAACCATGTCTCTCTTACCGTTACATCAGTTTTTTTATATTAACTGGTGACATAGTGTCAGTTATACCTCTCTAGTTTAGGAGGAGCGTATAGTGTAACCCGTGTCTCTCTTACCGTTACATCAGTTTTTTATATTAACTGGTGACATAGTGTCAGTTATACCTCTCTAGTTTAGGAGGAGCGTATAGTGTAACCCGTGTCTCTCTTACCGTTACAGCAGTTTTTTATATTAACTGGTGACATAGTGTCAGTTATACCTCTCTAGTTTAGGAGGAGCGTATAGTGTAACCCATGTCTCTCCTTACCGTTATATCAGTTTTTAGTTTTAATGGTGAGGTGTTGTATGTCATTCCTCTCTAGTTTAGAAGCGACCTAATGATATACTTGGTATTCTAGATAATTTAGTGTATTCTGTTAGATCGACGATGCATATCATCCAAATTTATTTTATCTTAGTAATTGTCAAGCACGTTCCGAAATGAAAAGTAGATTAATAACAAGGAAATCAACTGATATTCTCACCAGTGTCGAACGCACCTAACTTTCTATCGGGCAAGTAAATGATATATGTTCTCTTGTGATTACAATTTAAACCATTAAATGATCCTGTAAGTGTTTCACACGTATTTCTGTGTTATACATATTGCACGCATGAGTGATCATCATTGGTCGATACAAATTTAGAATTAAAATGTATCGCCATACAGCTATTGCGTCTGTCTAGGACTGCACACAAAAGGTATGTTAAAACCACGGAGGCGACAGCGGAAACCCCGAACTGGTTGAAATGAATAGCAAATACCAGATGGAGATGTGCACTGGCTCAGAAATAAAAACAAACATTGTTTGAATTACTAAATAGAACGTGCAGATATTCTGAACCGTACCGCTTTTCGAATGATTTGAAACATGATATGCAGCTTAAGGCAAACATTGGGGTCCTGCCTCCAGTAGCAGTGTCTGTCACCTCCAGTCACAAAGATTGTAAAATGCAAAATGTTCAGAACATTTAACTGCAGTTTTAAAAATGTTCTTCGGCTTCTTTCATGGAAATCGTGTTATCGGGTAGGAGATTTAGCCGTTTGAGTAACTGCGACATTTAAACATAGGTTGTGAAAGCTAGATGGTAACAATCTAGGAAGATCACATATTGGACAGCTGGTGATAAGCTGTCTTTGTAGGCTGGGTTATAATAAATACCGGGGATGTTTGAGTTATGAAGAATTGGGCTTTGTTTTCTAACTTTTGAGTTCTTAAAAATTTGATGGAGACAGAGCTTCAGTTATTGTAATGTTATAGTTGTAAAGGTGGAATACACCAAATGGTATGAATGAATCTGTTCACGTCATTCAATCTTACAGACTTTTGGGACATACTAAAGATGATATGATTGTGTAATAGTTCTTCCATACATATGTTACTGTTGGGAACATGTCACAAAGGTGAGCGATGTAATTTTGATCGGGAAGTAAACAAATGATAATATACATGACGATAACATATAGATAAATGGGATAGGTGATGCAGTAAGTGATTGGTCAGATGGCGCAGTTGTCAGCACAGTGATATCATTTCACCAATGCTACCGCGATTTGATTCCAATATCTGATGTGATGAGATTCCCAAACACTGTATAAATAAAACTTGCGTACCAGAAGTAACATTGTATAATTTCCAGAATATGCGTATTAAGTACAACTAACATGTCCTCGTTATAGCAGGTTTGCTGTTTATACATTGTTTAACTTTGTTTCCCGGTCAGATAGATATCTAGATGAACGTCATAAACGTTGTGTTTACGTCACTTGTTTGTTTACTAATAAGAATATTCTATTTTATTCTTGCAGGTGAGGTGGGCAAAGAAATGTATATAGTAAATAGAGGAAAGTTACATGTAGTTGGTGACAATGGAAAATCAGTGTTAGCTACATTAAAACCAGGGAGTTATTTTGGTGAAATCAGTATTCTAAATATGGGAACTTCCGGAAATAGACGAACTGCTTCCGTCAGGTCCGTGGGATATTCCGATTTGTTCCGACTATCAAAAGAAGATATGTGGGATGTACTTAAGGAATACCCACAAGCACGTGTAAAATTGGAATCTATTGCTGTGAAAAGATTGGAGAAAACAAAACAATCACCTATAGAAAAAGGTACAGTATTGCATATCAATTTCTTTTCAACTCTTAAATGACAGTGCGTTTGAAAATCTGATCGAGAGAGAAGGAGATGGATTCTGCGTATGAATTTAAGTGATTTACTTAGGGATTGATTATCGTTATGTAACAACATCGTCGACTCCGTCAAACTTGCTCTGACCTTCCTTAGTGGTAACGTTAAGTGTAAATTTGATCAAAGGTCAAAAATTCTATTTATCATTGTAAAGCACTAGCCAATTTTCTGTATATTAAATATCTATAACTAATTTGAGTTTTGAAAATTGGATGTAATCAGGATGACAATTTGAAATAATTGTTAACAATTGTAATTAAAAGTTGTTCAAAACACGTACAGCACATTTCATACATGTACTGGAATCGTTCTGATCTTACTTCAACATGTTATCAAGGATGTGTGCACTTAACTTCAACTTTATATCATCGATAAGTCCATTATCTAGATATGCTTGATGACGATATACGTTCTGTAAATTCGCATTGTTTACTCTTAAGATCTACACCAGTACAATTAATTGTATTTTTATGGCTGTACGGATAAAACATAAAAAACATAAAATACAAAAGATATAAATAAACCAGAACACATTTCAACATAGTGGTGAGAAAAAGTCAAATTTAAAAATGTTGGATCATTTTTTCTTGCTAATGAAACGCGATATCTGCAGTATTCTTAATTTCTTATCAGGGATGTCGCTTATCGCTTATACATCGTACCAATATTTTCTTTCATCACATTTGCGTCAGGTTTACACCGTCGGTTTCTGAGATAATACTGTTATAGATCTATTAGATTCTATAAATAAACATAATGGTATACCTACATAATACTAAGTATATAGAATAAGAATCCTTGATATCGGAAGCATCGAAACATACAGGTAAACAGGCTATTAAAACTGTTACATCTTCATGTTTTTATCTTTCATATTTTAATGTTTGAAACCTAATACTTCAGTTTCGTTTCCACATGAATAAAACATTTGGTGAGATCATCTACTTTAGTTACCAGCTACCGTAATAAATGGTATCAAATTGAAATTATTAAAATCAACGCTCAATTTAAATTCCTGGTTTGAGCAAAAACTGGTAAAAAATGGAAAATGTTATTCATATTTTGGTTCTATGCATGGTTACCTGAATCGGGTTGGGGTGTTTCATTTAACAAATTAAAAAGGGGCAAGTGGCAGTTAAACATTACAGTTAAATCATATATTTGAAAATGCAACAATGTTTTTTTTTTTTTTTTTTGAAAACCCAGCCCCTAAATATAAATAGTAACACGATATTAGACTCTACCGTTACAAAACCTACAGACAAAATATTCTATCAATACTTTAGTTCCGATAAAATGATTATTTCCTAGCATATTCAAATTCAAATTCATGACATCAGTTATCGTCGCGTAATTGGAATTGCCGTATATGAGGGTATACACACCACTGTATCACTAATGAACAATTAAACATATTTTAATTATCATGGAACGTTTTTGTTAAAAGGACACGCTATTGTGTACACTATGATACAAACATTAATCGCTAAAATGACTCCAAAAATACATCTGCGACAGTTCACTGTAAATCGTTAGAGGCGACTAATGTGGGAGATGAGATACGAACGGGCTTGTCTGTAGATACCATTAACTAAACTGATAATAATTTGTTTGTACTCCAGTATGTCTTATATCATGTGAAGTAACTAAACATGTTATCTTATGTGTCTTTTGTGTTTACTTACGGAATATAAAAATCTACTATACCAACTGAAGACCTTGACTTTTTCGCTATGTTAATTTAACTCTCCATTCCCGGGTGTGCTGTATTCCATTATCCTACCAAATTACCCATTCTCAAAGGAACAAAGCTGTTACAATGACCTTATATTCAGGAAAGTCGTGTGGCGTATACAGGTACTTTTCAATTAAGTAAAACCTTGACACTTATTTTCAAACTTCCATGGTAACCTTTAGACATTTCAAGTTGTGATAATTGTGCCCACCATATGCCAAATGAAATCTACGAATACCAATTTAGCTCGTAGGTGTCGCATAAGACGTAGATCTGTTGCCAAGAATATGACATGTTTACTTTAATTTGATTTCTGTAAATAAGAAATTCAATTATTCGTTGATGGTAGCTGAAAAGTTTTGGACTCTGTCGGGACAAATATTCAAACGGATCTTCAGGGCTTATTTTAAAATAAATTTCCTATTTTGTTTCGGTGTCAACATTACGGGTACAGATATATACATGGAAATAACATTGCCATACTTATTTCTCTTTGTTCGACTTAAATACATAAAAATGGATTCTCATGTACACATGAGGGTTATTAGATGTAAATGTTATTAAACTAGTAAGATAATAATTTGATGAAATATATATCTCGTGGCAACAACATCAAATGGAATTTATTTATCCGTCATGCATGCCTGTATATACTCGTCGTTTAGTTGGCGACATTATGACATGTCCATATTTGGAGAAGCACGTTTTCTCATTGAGAACCATATCTATCTAACGTTAATGTTGGTTAACGTTGATTTCCTTTGTTTTGGGGCCCTGTAATATTTTTATTCTATCTTCGATTGGATTTCATATGTTATTTTTATTTTTGAATTCCTTCAATGATTTCAGCAAAACGGAAAATCTCATATTATTTCTTACATAAAGTCATTACCAAAACTGTTCTTTTATTAAACTAAAGAATTTGCCCTCATATTATTGCAATTATTATTTTACCAGAAAATCAGAGACATTTAGATTGGTAGTACCAAAACGTAATCTGTTGAAACTATTGATACTTTATAAAGTGTAAATATATCAGTTTAATCTAGACGAAGATATTTTGTATATCAGCGACATTATTCTACTATATCAAATATGTGATATTCCCTTGTACCTTCTTCGAGGTGGTAGACTCTGCTGAACTTATATCCCCGAGGTTTGCAGTAACTTTTATGCCAAATTTTTTATTCATTCATATATAGCACGTTCCAGGATACATGTACTTGACGTTCTTTTGGAATGATCAGACAAATGAAATTACGAAATTTATTGACATATGGAGCAAGTAAGATTTTAAAATTTCGATCCCTTTGAATTTTCCGAAGTCCTCTCCTGGGATTTAAAATTTAGACCCAAAAGCATTACTGACTAGTTACAGAAGGACGAAACAGCTTGGCTCTACTGTATCTAACTCTAAATATGTATTAAAAGGTTCTATTCATTTTTGTATCTTTGTACAATCTTCTTCCATCGATCCATGAAGTGTACACATATTCATCTTACATCATAGACAATTTCCCGCCTTGTCTTTCTAAATTGTCCAATGGTACAATAAATATATATGTCATTATTGGTGACGTCAGCACCGAAGGCCACTGACAGTACAGTATCATCGCTCTGGGAAAATCCATGCCGAATTCTAGTGGTACTAAAATGAAAACTGGAATTGACTTTTCAGCAAAAGGTCGGATGTGCTTTACTTTAATGGACTGATTTATGTCTCTGTTTCTCACTATTTCCATGACATTGTGAAGATTTATTCGTGATATGAATCAGAAAATTATTTGACGCATTAAAAATTATTTAATTGATTTTATTCATTGATTAAATTCCTTTTTTATTTTCACAGCAACCTTATCCCGGAGTAAGAGCACACCAGGTCTGGTGGAATCCGACGGGAAGGTTCCTTTAGATACCATGATTATTTCTAGACACCATACACTTCCGGCCGGGCTTCCTGTACCTCATTCCCAGGACTCTGATCAGGGCGAGGAGCCTCACACGTCCGAGGCCCCGCCCGAGAATCAGGAAAGGATGGATGGTGCTAAAGATCCTTCTACACCCCCTGTGGAAATTGCCACGGTGGGAACGATGACTAAGTCATTGACAATATCGAGTATGACGTCTTATAACGCGGGGTCCCCGCCGCTATACTCAGAGACAAAATTCACGATCAGCCCTCCCCCTTCACCAGGATTGGTCACCCAAGCTCAAAATGTGTCCCGTCGGGGATCTGCGTGTGCTCCGTTTGGACAGGATGTTTTATCACGAGGTTCACCTACACAACTCTCGCCACTCCATCTCGCATATTCACCGTCATATCCCGCGAGCCAACAAACCCATCCTATGAATTTCCTGTCCCCTTACTGTGCCTCTAACAGTCTCCATCCGCCGTCCTCTCCAATGGCGATGGGAAGGGCGGACAACCTTTCGTCCTCCCAAACAAACCTCGCTTCGCCGCAAACACATTCGGCACACAGTCTATTTTATCAACAACAACCCACAATGCCAGTTTCTCCTGCTATGACGTCCAATATGGCTTCCGTGAGTCCTGCCTCATTTTCATTCGACACGTCACAAGAAGTGCTATTACAAGAAATAACAACATTACGACAGCGGTTGATTTCTTTGGAATCAGAGAACGCCGCCATGACAGTGAAGCTAAGTCAGCAACAATGGAATGTTGAACACAGACTTGCGGAACTTGAAATGCATATATGCCACAGCTCAAGTGTAGCAAGTACAACCAGCCAGGACGAAAGGACGGAGCGATTCGACCCAGTAAATCGCGAATCCATTATATGAAACCGGAAGTGTAATTATTGGAGTAATAAGTCCATGTCTTCCTGTGTGGAAGTGTCGGATATGCATCAATCAGCATGTCCAATCCGTGTTTCACTTCAAGGATATCAATTGGACACTTTCTGTGGTATAGTTCTAGAAGAAAAGTCGGATTGCATACAAATGCTTCCGGATTCATGTAGAATATAATGAAGTGTGGGCCAGATGTTGGTTTTATGAATTCCAATAAGTCATACTATCAAGACTGATTTTTTTTATTAAAATCAATGAGCTCTTTCAGCTAATTTTAACATTTGACGGATTTTATGTAAAGATTCAGTCGGAGTGTCAATATTCAACGGTATTCGGTGCAATTAAATATTCCAATGAGAGGACCGCAGTTGTTGTTTGAAATTTTGTGATGGATGCATGTGGAACGATTCTTTAGCAGTTAAGAACACGAAAAACAGGTATATGTAACGGAATCGGAATCAGTGAAAGGGATGTCAGTGAAAACATTAGTGATATTTTGTGCCAATTATAAATTTTGATCGAGTTGGAAAGTGGCTTAACAGTCGTGGGACTTGGATGGATTATTGACGAGACGTGCTACACTATCGTTATGTAACAGCGTTATCATATAGAACGAGCCTCATGCACGCATGCGGTACCCTACTTTATCATCGGTGTCAAAACAAACTTGTAAATGGATGTACATACAACTAAATATGTTTTTTACCAAATGACGAATATAAAAATTTTCAGATTTTACAAAGTTTTCCATGCCAAATACAAAGGGGCATCAATATGGTTTTAGTAAGTTGATATGGCACGTTGTTCCCTCCAAGTAACAGTGGCGGGTACGTCTGATAGACAAACTGTATGATTACTGATACATGTGTTTGGGAAATGGCCAAATCTACCGATGAATCACTATGACTATTTTTGTGTAGTAGTATTTTTGGATAAAATGCCGTTAAAACCTCCCGAAAATATTTACACTGACGACTTTTACGAATATAGCTATAATTTTAAAGGTTACATACCAAATGTTTGCAAAAATATGACTCTGTTCCTAACGATCAAAATGGAGTGTTCAATGAATTCACCCTTTCAACTTAACAAACGGGCATAATGGGAAAACGGAAATATTATCGAAAGTGACAGCTGTTCTGAAAATTAATATATCATCGTTATCTTCCCAAACCAAAACGATTGCTTTTATTAGAAGATATATGAAAGAATCGAAAGCAAATGAATCATGTTATATATAGATCGTGGTAGTTGAACTGTTTTGCTCTGTAATTTGTTTCTAAATCGTAGGCAACCACCGTCTATTCAATAAGATTCAGAATTACAGGTATCAATGTTATATTGAGAAATGTTTTTCTCAAAGACGTTATCAATTAAAAGTAAATGATAATGATTACGGCAGTACTATAGCGATTATTGATATCACAGTTATTCACACTACTTGCATTATGATAAGTTTTAATAATAAAGAGTAAATGTAAAATATTTTATAAACAGATTGGATCCTGTGACTCCGACAATAAACATGTTTCCATTTATCTTTTAATCGGAGAAAAACGTAACACGGTATACTTATTTAATCTCATATATATTCAGTAACATTCGTATCTAATTGATCGATAGTCGATCGATATCTGTTATATCAATTACCATTGTTTAGTGCAGTTACAACAACCCGTTTCTATATTGGCGTATTATATCTAGGCGGTCTACTAGTCGCTATAGAATTTGTAACATCGAATCATTCCAATTTTTGTTATTTTTTCCTGTCATAATATTCATTCTCATTTTGAAATAATGAATTTTGTTAGTGCTAATTGGTTGGTTTTCGCTGGCAGGGATATGAAATTTACCTCTAAAGAAAAAAAAGCAAAATATTTTTAACGACAATGTATGCCGATCGTGATAGAACATTTAATACAATACAAATCTGCACATTATCTTTAACGCAATGTGGAATGTATACCCTTGTTCCGTTGTGAAAGTCGTAAGTGTAAATAATAGATTAACCCATGATTAAAGTAAATGAGAATAAATGAAAGGGGTGGACAAGTACCTAATAAGTTACGTTATATCTAAGTAAACTAGAGAGGAAAAACATATTGAAATCTATATATTATCATAACCTTAGCAATAGTGCCCTATACTATAGATTAGGTATCATTTTTGGGGGTACTGTATTGTTTTTTCTTCTCATTATTAATCTTTTTTCTCTTCCATAAAGTGTGCAAATGTATTATTTATATTTGGAATGGAACTAAACATATTTTTGTCAAAATGTAATATGAACAAACATTCAATGCGGAATGTATGATTTGTTGCACGAAGGATGAGGAATATATTTTGAAAATAAATAGAAATATGAGAGATGATAATATTGTCCAACGTGTATATCCGTCTCGTGGCTTGCCACATAATCAGTTACTTAATTGATTGATTGTTTTCAATAGTTACAAATAATTCACAACGGTAACTTATAGTTATCATGAACTCTTGTTTTCGAGAACAACAAAGTAGTTCACATACTTGAAAATCACGTGGTTGCTAATTTGTGATTTTCAACCAAGTAGGGACATTCGAAGTGTCAGCTTTTTCAGCTGTTGCAGTTCGTTCTTCTTATTTAGTTAGACTGGCATTTGATGTCTTTATTTCTTCCTGATAGAAAATGTTTGGAAATGAACAATTCTTGCCGGAGAAGTATGACACTGGACATAAATGATACTGTAATCCTTTCAGTAGAAAGATTTATTGACTTGCTCATCATGTGTATATATACATTGGGGTTCACTGTGGCCCAACAAGACGTTTAGCTTTAAAACATAACCATTTTGAATGTCTTTTTTTATTTTGAATACTTCGTAAATTGTGAGAGGATGGCCATTTAACACGTTAGTTAATGAGTGCAACTGTTAAAGGTGTGAAAGCTGTAGTGGTACAAACATTTCCCTTATCAATGAGTATTAATGTATATGATTGAGTTACTGGTTCACTCGAAATATGATGTACTTTTTTGTTTTGTTTTGATTTTTGTTATAAATCCTTCTTTTTAAAAATAAGATTATCCTAATGTAAAGGTAACTAATCAATAATTGTATTTCATAATATCGTCAGAGATAAACATATTCGTATCAATGTTTGAGGAGAGTGTTCTGCTAATTGGTTTCTTTTGTCACATGGCCAGGACCTCCGAAAGAAAGTAATTTAATCGTTATAATCACCAACGCTTTAAATAGCATAGAAATTCAGAAATCCAATCAAACATGTTTGACTATATGGGACCATTTTGAGATATTTTTCATAACTATTATTTTGCATTAATTTTATCTTTAATGCTTTTTTGTACAAGGACAGCGGATACATAAGGAACAAAACTATAGATTATATATGTTTTTGAAGTTTCAATTGATTGGAGAGATTTTTTACTTTCCGGGAATATGAAAATGACAACTGGTAAATTTCGACATTTTCTGTTCAAAAATCAAAAATAAAACAATTTAATATGGGAATACACGAAACCGATATCTTATGTATTTCGAAAGTATTTCACGTAGGTAACACTTAATAAAAAATAATTGTGGTGATATATTCTAATTGTTGAAAATAGATGATATCAACATGCTACAAAATCAAGTTATTTTGCCACTTTTCCAAATACATTTGAAACACGATAGAATACATCACATAAAACTAATCAAACGTAGAAAGATAGGTGGCTCGCCATGGAACTAGACAAATGCTTTCTGTTAAATAACATTTACATCAAATGCAGCACCAGCAACAACTGCTAGGTTCCGCCGGATATATATTGACTTTCAGAAATAAAACATACAAAAAATTTAGATATGAAACTGAAATTTACTTTGAAAAGACACTCAAGTGAAAACGTAATGCATTCGTAAACCGTTTTATGCACACGTGCATTTTACTATTATTTACCATGTAGAAATATCCTTCACAGAGACAATCAATACAAACACCCACAAAGAAATATCTGCCCTATATATGTTTACCAGAAAAGAAACATCATTTACATATACAACCGATGACAAATAACGTTCACCAACACATCGATACCCTCCATATTATGTTTTCTACAAACCAAATACCTAATGCAATAACTTGAATTAATATCATAAACAAAGGTTTTCCAGCGCAATTAATTACAAACACAAATTCAATTAATGGAATTGTGTTCTGTAGATATATTATCTACATATTCGTCTTAGAAATGTAATTGATGAACATGTTTTAACCACGGAATCGTTGCTTTGACAAAACAGAAATGTTGAAATTGTCCTCGGTGTTACCTTCCCTGCTCCAAATGGTTCAGCATTCCCCTAGATAACATACTTCATTTGTATCCGTATGGCACTTCCGCCATACACAAATACACGCAAAAAACGTTTCCATGTGTTTTCAACAAAACTCCACCGTCCAATAATATTTCGGCGTCAGAAGATGGCTTAGAGATAAAGAAAGAACGATACCACAAATAAATGAAAAGATACAAATATGAGATCAAATTTATGGTTTTTTGGGCACCTTGAATTAAGAACCTTCATAACAAAACAACAACAAAATACTTTCCCAAAACCCATTAATAATTTAGGCTGCTGATCGGTTGCACATGGTGGACATGACCGGCCTATGAACAAAGACTCTGAAATGAATTGTGCCGAATACGACGTAAAGATATATTTGGTACTTAGTCCTTAGCTAGTATTGACTTACAACCGAATATAGATAGATAATGCATTTGGTAGGAAATGAACGTTGATATGTCCAACTATGATATAAGCAGTCCTAGCCTTGATATGTTCTATGTAGGCAAATCTGAACTTGTATAACACAGACGTATTGACGTGGGAGATTTCCTTTCACTAGCTTTAGTAAAACAAGCCAAAGGTCACCCTTAAACCAATAAATTAGAAATATGATGGATGGTAGACGGTCAGTGGTTAAGATGGTTATTGATAGAAGTATAATACGGC